TGGATAGATTTTTCTTAATTCAACTTCATGACTCCTTCATATTCTAGTAACAGTTGTTTCTAGTTTCAGTGTCAATTTGGTTGTGAGTTTTTCTTTTGTAATGTGATTTCACTGGAAATTTAGTGGGAAGTAGGAAGAGGCTGAATCGGAAACTGCTGGCCAGGTGCCATTTCAGTGGACTGTGCGGTGCTTCCCCTCCACCACTCCTTCTCGGGAGCCATAGATATTAGCTCCCAGTAAAAACAGTTCTGCATTTGTCTTGAGGAAAAAATATGGAGTGTAAAATATTGTGTTATTTTGCTTACTTAAGTCATAGAGAATCTATGAAAAGTAATCTAGAAGAAGTTATTAATGCATTAGATAGTAATCTTTATGGAACTTGCCATTAATATGTAGAGAAGGTAAAAAATGTTATGTACTTAACAAGAAACAGTTACTTAAAGAGTAGCTGTAATTACAGGCTGTCACCTACATCCAGCACCTTCACCATCAATAACCAGTTTATGAGCACCTCCTTAGAGAGTGACCCTGTGCTGCATATACTGCAGTTAGTGTTGCCATTCACATTAGGTTATGATATCATTCAATCAGCTGATTTCAGCTAGTTTTGCATAATGTTTCCTGAGAAAAACACTTTTGTTAATATAAAGATAGGTACCATATATAAACCTTTGAGCAGAAATTATAAAGCAATATGGCGTAGTTTCATTTTAACAGCACCGAAGTATAGGCAAAAACAGCACTTATTTCTTCTTTTGTGGAACTTACACTGTCATGGGTAAGACAGACTGCAGTCAAATTATCACAGAGATCATTGTAAAAATTCTGATTCCAGTGCTGAAACTACTTCATAAAGTTGTATGCAAATATCAGTTATTATTTTGCCCTTGTAAAGTAAAAACAGAGAATGTCGCTCTTATCCGTAAAATCTCTAGTACTAGAGCGCCCTTAAAATCTTTCCTGCAAAGATAACATTTTTCCTTTTTAAAGAAAAATGTTTTTCATGCTTGCACAGGATAAGTAAAGAGTGCAGAAGTTCAGTTTTACAATGTTTATGTGTAAGGATGTTTCTATTTCTAGTGCAGTTATCTTTGGATTATATTGATTCAGTGATGTGAGTACATGTGCTGTATTCATATTTTTGAAAGAAATAAACAGAAAATAAACACAGCAGGTACACCTGCAGAATGTTATATGAGAGCTACTGTTCTCCATAGGAGTGTATTTATTTGTGCTGTAATCCTGTGGTGGATATTGATGCCATTCATGTTCAAGATGACAGAAGAGATGAAAGAGATTGATCTTATAAGTTGAGAGACACTGACCTGCAGTCCTTAACCTTTTCTTTTTATTTGTATCCTCCCTTCCCAAGTCTTTTCACCAAACCTAGATTCTCTGAAGCCCAAAAGGTCCAACAGGTATTTCAGGCTCTGTTTCTATTAACCAGCCCTGAAGACCCTGCCCCCTGCAGTCAGCCTGACCAGTCTCGGGGGTTGTCTGCAAACCCTTACAGCTGTACTCTGGAAAGCCTATTAAACGTGAAAGGAGAACTGCTCTAGAATAAGAAAACTCAACTTTGTATGCACCGTGCTTCTTTTGTCAAGTCACTTCACCTCGTTGAACATCAGTTTCCTCTTGCTCGTGAAATGGAGGTATCCCAGGCCCATCGTGCCCACTTTGCCTGGGAGGCAGGGTCCATAGTTGGAGATATGACACGTAGGCCAAAGCCGCAGGTCACCTGAAGTTTCTCTCCAAGTTTTTCTGAGGCATCTGGGAACTTCTCTCAGGAGGTGGTATATATTAATTTCCCTGTAATAAGTGTTTCGAAGTTAGGTTCTATGTCGCTTTCGTGTATCCTCAACAACTAGCACAGCACCTGGCACGCAGTCTCATTCAGTAAATGCTGGTTGAATAATGAGGGAGAGATTTCTTTCTAAGTTCCCTGACTCATAACAGCTGACTGAGCACCATGTTGTATGTAGTGCCAGAATACTCAGCCTACCAGAAGTGATCCGTGGTTTCCAGGTGGAGTCCTAGTTTCTCATCTGGGAGGTCACAATGATCACATATGCCTCAGGGTTTCTGTGATGATCAAATGAAAAATGTATTCCAAAGCTGGTTCAGATGAGGGGCATAAGGAAGGGAGGAACAGAGGTAGGTGGAGTCAGACCTGGGATAATTTCCATTCCACCACCTGCCTCTGCTGGGAACTTGAAGAAGCCATGTAACTTCTGTGAGCCTCTTTCCCTGTCTGAACAGCGAGGGTAACAGTGCCTGTCCTGCCTCCCTTACAGATTCATTTGCAGTGAGGAAGGAGATGATGAAAAAGGGAAAAAGGGTCCTACGAATGTAAGAAACTTAGTATTAGAGGAGAGGACTGTGGACTGGAATTTGTAAAACCTGGCTTTGACACTTACTAGCTCTGCAACTTAAACTACTGAAACACAGTTTCTTCCTATATAAAATGAAAATGTTAGATTAGTTTATTTTTAATGCTTTTCCTGTTAATAGTGGTGGATTTGTAGAAGTTCTCTTCATGTGCATGCAGGATTAAAATAATCACATATCTATAATTTTCAGCCTTATGAGTACTGGGGGAAACGTCACACTAAAACTTTTGTCCATCTTCTGAATAATGTCTGAATTTACAGACCTCATTCTGCTTTCCTGTAGCTAAAGGATTGGGCTATACTGAGTAACACTTCAAACTTTTATCAGTGTTCTCACCTCACCGCTTACGAGTTCAGCTGTCTTCTGTTATCTGTTTTGCTAAGATGGGAGGGGCAGGATAACTGAAAATCAACTTGGCTGCTCTGCAGTTTCACGTCAGTTTGTCCCACACACCAGCGGATTAGTCTAGTGTATGCATTCATAGGGAAGAAAATGCTGGCTTGGGACGAGAATTCCCTGACTCTGCAGCCTTGACAACCATCTCCAGGCCCTTCATTTCGTAAGTGTCACACCTGGAGTACTTGCAGGGGCCTTGGGGTTCTTCCCACCTAGCCCTCTCATTTTTCATATGGGAAACCGGGGCCCAGAGAAGTAGCTTGCTAGAGAACATGGCGATTTGAACAAAGAAAATCCAAAGTCCCAACCAGTTGTATTGCAATATATTACCCTACAGGGAGTTAACCACCGAGAAAATAAGATACAGCACTTCCTCCTAGTTGCGGTGTTCATCAAAAAGTCTGCCTTTTTGATTTCTTGCTACTCCTCAGCTTAGAACCAGAGGGCTTTTATTTCAGGTGCAACGTTTTACAGCATTTAGCACGTCTAACTGAGAAGTAGAGTTAGGGTAATCATATCTGAGTTCTTCAAATCATTCTTTCTTATTCTTGGCTAACTTTATAGAGGACTTACTCTATGCTAGACACTGTGCTAACAAAGAGTACTTCCTCTCTAGAGACTGTTAGAGCACAGAAGGCCCTGGGAACAGTGAGGGTGAAAGGAGCAAGAGCCGAAGAGGCAAGAGAGACCAGGTCTGAAAGCAGGAGAGTGGGGCAGAATCACATCTGAAAGTTTCAAGGTCACCCCTCAGCAGGAGCAGAGCTGTAGCTGCAGAGCCCGCAGAGCTTTAAGCCCGACAGGAAACCTGAAAGCATCCCGGAGGGGGCATTTTGCAGGGAGCGTGGGGCCTCTCAGTTTCTGGGCTTTTATTCATCAGCATCGAAGGGTGTTGAATGAACCCTGTCCTTGATTCTAACTTCTTTCCCTCGTCGTCCTTCCCATACGCCCCTGCTGGCCAGGTGAAAACCAAGGAAGTACAGATTACAAACCAGAGAGAGAGCTGAGGGTTATGAGGCGGTGTGATCTCCAAAGGTTCACATTTCTGTCTGTTCATTAGCCGTCTTTCTGATAAGAAAATCTTGGACTTATTTGATTACAGTAATATGGGAAGTTTACAGTCCCTCTGTACAATCCTAAATTCAAAATGCTCTGAGACAGTTTTTTAAAAATAATTTTGTGGCACACTCACTTGGGTAGTAAATCTGACCAAAACTGACAGGATGCTACAGTCTTACGGTCTTTAGGTACCCCCCCTTAGTGAGAATATTCACATGTTTGGTGGCAAACATATTCATGTATCTGATTACAGAGTTGCCTCCACAGACCCTGCTGTGGGCAATAAGCAATTTATGGAAAAACGCATTTTACTACGTTTCTGAAATTGAAAGAACTCGGAATTCCAAAACCATCTGGCCCCAAGGATTTTAGAAAAGTGACTTTCAACCCATAAATCGTTTTCCGTAAATTTTGGTGTACTTATTTATCCCTTAAGGAATGAACGTTTCCTTCGTTTTTCTTGCCTATGAAGAAAAGGGGGGGGGGGAGGGGAGAAGCAAAACAAGTCTAAATGGTGGCTCTCAGGAGAATAAACTGTAGCTGAAGCTTTGGGGGTGGGGGTCTAGGTCCTCAATAGGAGTAGATCTTTTAAAGGACAGAAAACTAGATCTGTACTTTTCCTGCAATTAAAAAAAAAAAAAAATTACAGGTTTCGCCGCGGAACTGCATCATCCTCTTCTCCAGCTTTGCAGCAGCCTGAGCTGTAAAAGAGCTGCTAAGCCTAAAATGCGTGCGACTCACGGAACCAGAGCGCCACCTTTCTTCCAGATTTGGAATTGAAGCTTCCCGCGGCCACTGGCTGACTTGCCTGCCGAGGCTTGTTCAATCCACAAGACTGCAAGGAAACAATTCATTGACCCTCAAATCATAAAGGAAGAGCTGCAAAGAGGGCAAGAAAATGTGTTTCCTTCTCTTTGGTCCCTGAGCAATTAAATTCGTAACCTAATCTGATGTTAGGGAGTGTGAGCCATAAACCCCATGGTTAATTAGTTTGCACCTAGAGTCATTTTACACACTAGACATTTTAATTTACAACCTGCTGCATTGCAGCACTTTTCTAGGCCTTCAGCTATATAATAAGGTATTCTGCTAGCTGCTGAAGCTTTAAAAATATAGATACAATTAGTTCAGATTTTTTCTTCCTTTTCCATTTTCAGTTGCAAATCAAACATGCAGTTACAGAAGCAGAGATTCAAAAATTGAAGACCAAGGTAAGCACCAATACATGATGTTTGAATTGTACTTTTTAAACTTCAGATGCTATGAATAAATTCAACCTGAGGACTAAAGGAATTTGTTTCTGTGCATTTGAAAGAATACAAATGTGAGAGATTCATTTCCACTGTTAGCGGAAAAACCTGCCAGTGCATACTCTTAGGGCGTCAGCACCACCATACCCCTCAGTGAAAATAGCACAGTATTTTTAAATTACATATTTGCACATATGTGGCCCGTTCCCTCTGAGCTTTCCTCAAAAAGTAATGTTTATGTGTTGGTGTGATGAATTGGGAGATTGGGATTGACATATATACACTAATATGTATAAAATGGATAACTAATAAGAACCTGCTATTTAAAAAAATAAATTAAAAAGTAAATGTTTATAGTAGTTCAAGAATCCAAATTACATTTTGACCACTAATTCCTTAAGCACAAGCTGTTATACTATATCTCTTTATCTTATCTTAAATGTTTAATTATTTATTTTTAACTTATTCATCAGAGATAATGTATTTTAACATAGCACATTACTTATCTTTCATAGAGAAAACTTCCAATTTCTAGTAATTAAGTATTATGAAATTTAATTAATATATGAATAATTTATTTTAGGTGCCAGGTGCTACCAGAAATCTTTAGACAAGTTTAGTTCATGTTATTTAAATTTGTGGAGAAATACAGGTCTTGATAAAAGGAGTATATGTTTTTAGTTTATATATGAAATAATACATAATTCAGAAGGGCATTTTTAATTGGTAAATTATAAGGTACTTGTAAGTTTCTTGAACAGTGTTTAGTTTTATCAAGTACATAATTTCAAAGATTTTAAAAAGATCTTTTGAGTTACTTTAAAAACACAATAATCTTTATTTTTTATGGTCTTTTAAAAATTGAGACATAATTGCTCTCACACTACTAACAGTCCGTTTCCCTGTTCACATTAGATACACTTGTTTTGGTTTTTCCATGTGTTTTAAATGGAGATGACTTAGCAAGGCTATTTTGGTTAAATGGTATTTTTAGCTAATAACTCTGCAGCTCTTTAGTCAAAACATGTCTATACATCATTCATGGTTTCAACCAAGCTCTGTGAATAATAAGTTTTAAATTAGTAGCGGTTGGTAAATAAACAACTCAAACACGAAACATTGCTTAATAAAAGATGCAGCAAATACCCAGTCCTGTTTTAAATTGCCATGTTTCTTGTCATAGAACGGAAGAATAGAAGATTTCTTTTTAGTTGTTAGGTACAATCAGGGAAAAAGATTCACCTGGGATTGCAAGTGCTTTAACAGAGCTTATGTGTTAGATATTTAATCTAGAAAATTCTATAAATTAGTATTTTATATTTTTCTCAATATCATATTGGCATATAATAGCCATAGATTAGCTTGTTTTACTATGACTCTTTATATCCAAGTTGATAATAGAATTCCTAATTTTGAAATGTTTTTGACTACTTTTTACTTTGTAACCTGTTTTGCCAATGTGTTTAGTTTAAAATATACATAAAAACATATATTTCCACTTTCCAAATGATTTTGGAATGTTTTAGATTTTGAAAATTGATAGTTTATAATGACTGCATCCTTTTGAACTTTAACAGAGGCATGTGAAGTAGGTGAAGCACTCATTTAAAGGTTGGCTGGTTAATTGTGAATAAATGACCTTTGACCCCTTACCTGAGAGATCAGTCTTGAATTTCTTCAGAAATGAGGGATTTGGACCAGTGTGTTATCTGTTCCTAAGCTTCCCTGAAAGCAGAAACCACAAGAAGCTGCCTTTGTGTCCCATCAGAGAGATTTAAATTAATTCAGAAATCATTTATATTTTTACTCACACTGTCTTTTATTGAAATCGGGATTTATTAGGCTCTAGAAACTCAGAACAGTGTCAGCAAAATAATGAGCTACAAGCTATGTTCATGTCAGTTGAAATAAAAGATGTGATAATATCATCAAAAGGGATAGAAACAAAGTAAAAATCACTTTTATCAGATTATTATGCCCAAGGAGCTGTTCCAAGCGTGCTGATGTGTTATATCACAGTTCCGATTAAAGATAACATAATTTAGTCTTAGAGGACTTCATTTACTTGTCCAAGGTTTAAAGGCCAATAATGGCAGAGCCTGGAATTCAAATCTAAACTGTATGACCCCACGGTCCCCCTCTTATCCATTAGGCCATACTGTGTGCTTCTGCCCCTCTCTCCTTCCCAGCTTGCCTCTCCCCACTCCCTTTTTAGTTAACTTTTTATTTATAATTATATGTTAAAAAAAAAAAAAAAGAAAAACTCTAAAAGAAAGCGTGTTGAAGTTCATTGGATAGAATCAAACTCTAAAATACTTTTTCCTGCTCAGAGAATTTCATACACCACATAGTGTGATGTAAAGATCATGGGAGTTGGAATCAGATCCACGTTTTGTCATTTATCAGATGTGTGACCTTGTACAAACATTTTCACTTTTCAAGGCCTCCGTTTTATAATCTGTGTAATAATGAAAATAATACTTGCTCTTCTCATCTCAGTGTGTTTGATGATTTGAGTATATGTAACAATGGAATTTAAAATACACTATAAAAATATGAGGGATTTTTGCTACAGAAGTACCCAGATAATGCTTGCTTTGATATTTGCTTTGTCCAGCTACAAGCAGCAGAAAATGAGAAAGTGAGGTGGGAACTAGAAAAAACCCAACTCCAGCAGAATATAGAAGAGAATAAAGAAAGAATGTTGAAGTTGGAGAGCTACTGGATTGAGGCTCAAACGTTATGCCACACGGTGAACGAGCACCTCAAAGAGACTCAAAGCCAGTATCAAGCCTTGGAAAAGAAGTACAACAAGGCAAAGAAACTGATCAAGGATTTTCAACAAAAGTAAGCAGCTTCTAATGACTAAAGAATAGTTGTGTGTATCTAAAGAAGGTTTATATCCAGTAATTTCATAATATCTAGTGGAAAAGAAAAGGTGACCTCAGAGTCATGCCCCTAAGGAGCATAGTTAATGCATAAATAGACATTAAGTTTTAGAAATCCCTTGCATCATTTTTCATATGCAATTATAGTTTTTCTTCTATAATTTTTTGGCAACCTCCTGTTTTGTTGTTGTTGTTAATCATTAATAGTAACTGTTAAACCATTTGAACCTCTATCCTTTTTGAAACATCTGTGATTTAGAAGCAAGAAGCCCAGCTGAAGTCATGCAGAATGACTATTGGATAAAGTACTTACAAAGCAGCAACTGGGGCCTTGATGAGGCTGCTTCTATGTCTATTCTTAGAATCAGTTAACTTCAGAATTTTCCCACTACAGATAGTGTAAATACTGACTAGCAAGACCTCCTGCCCTGCCAGTTTCCTTCTTTCAGCTGTTGAGAGAATCAAAAGGGCCTTGGTTCACTGCAGTAAGAGACCATCACCACACTCTGCTTTTAAATTTCAACTGCTATTTCTGAGCTAATGCTGCTTTGCTTCCATCTGTTGAATCTTGGTGTAATTTCAGGGAGACTGACCAGGGAGATTTTTACGGATTTTTTTCAACAGTTAACTTCTGGCTAACTAGAATAATAGAAAGTAGCACCAGTATCTCATCTGGTCTTCTATGTCAAGCCTTAAAAGCTAAGCATAGGGCTTCCCTGGTGGCGCAGTGGTTGAGGGTCCGCCTGCTGATGCAGGCGACACGGGTTCGTGCCCCAGTCCGGGAAGATCCCACATGCCGCGGAGTGGCTGGGCCTGTGAGCCATGGCCGCTGAGCCTGCGCGTCTGGAGCCTGTGCTCCACAACGGGAGAGGCCACAGCAGTGAGAGGCCCGCGTACTGCAAAAAAATTTTAAAAACCTAAGCATATATGTAAGAGTCACCGTAACTATTATTTCCTATCATGGAAATAATGTTTGTAATGTTTAAAAGATATTGCTATAAAAAGAGTATTAGAAAGGGGGGAATTGTTCTTATGACCATGAATTCACTACATCACTATTTTAACTCTTTTTACCAAAAATATACCTAACTCTATTTCATGTAATAATTTTATAATAAATTCTACCAAATTTGCATATTGCATTCCAGACTTTTAAAATGGAGGTATTTCTCCTTCTCCCCATATTATCCTCAGGCATGTAGTGACAGCTCCCCCTCAGTGTTTCTGACCCAACAGCCCCTCTACTGCCATTTATAGGAAGCAATCTCATTATAATTATCTTTTTAAAACTCTTACCATCCAGTTCCATCAGTTTACTAGGTAAATGTGGAATTATATCTACTTGACATGTAATTATCTCCACTAAATTATCCAACATGGGTCATTAGTTCAGTAGCTTCTATCTAAATATGAACGGGTGCTCTAGAGTCAGGAGCTACAGATGAAAATCTTAGTAAGCAGGATCAAAGCATTTTTCTTTACTTTGTAATCCATTAAAAGTTTTTTTTTTTTTTTTTTTTTTTTTGCGGTACGCGGGCCTCTCACTGTTGTGGCCTCTCCCGTTGCGGAGCACAGGCTCCGGACGCGCAGGCTCAGCGGCCATGGCTCACGGGCCCAGCCACTCCACAGCATGTGGGATCTTCCCGGACCGGAGCACAAACCCGCATCCCCTGCATCGGCAGGCAGACTCTCAGCCACTGCGCCACCAGGGAAGCCCCCATTAAGACATTTTATTTGCTTTCATTACTAGATACCTCTTCTCTGTGATTGAGTTTTGTTTATTTAAACAGCTGTCTAGTTATTTATTTCACTGTGCAGTTCATTGCTTCTGATAGGAATTTTTACATTTCCTCATTTGTTGAGTGTTTGATGCAATGAGATCTATTATTTTCTTCTTAAGAGAACTTGATTTCATCAAAAGACAGGAAGCAGAAAGAAAGAAAATAGAAGATTTGGAAAAAGCTCATCTTGTGGAAGTTCAAGGCCTGCAAGTACGGGTGAGTTATATGCTCAAAGCCACTGAGTAATAGGGCAGCCAGACAAAAGTATAATTTGAAAAGATACATGCACCCCCATGTTCATAGCAGCACTATTTACAGTAGCCAAGATGTGAAAACAACCTAAATGTCCATTGACAGATGAATGGATAAAGAAGATGTGGTACATGTATACAATGGACTACTACTCAGCCATTAAAAAGAATGAAATAATAGAGATTATCACACTAAGTGAAGTAAGTCAGAAAGAGAAAGACAAATACCATATGATATCACTTACATGTGGAATCTAAAATACAACACAAATGAACATATCTATGAAACAAAAACAGACTTACAGACATAGAGAATAGACTTGTGGTTGCCAAAGAGGCGGGAGGGTTGAGGAGGGAAGGACTGGGGGTTTGGGATTAGCAGAAGCAAGCTATTATATATAGGTTGGATGAACAGCAAGGTCTTACCATATAGCACGGGGAACTATGTTCAATATCCTGTGGTAAACCATAATGGAAAAGAATTTGAAAAGGATATATGTATGTATAACTGAGTCACTTTGCTAAATAGCAGAAATTAAACACAACGTTGTAAATCGACTATGTTTTAATAAAATTTAAAAAAAAAGAATAGGGTAGTTTTGCCTAGTGCTTGGAGAGAAGTGCTGATTTAGGGTTTCATGAATAGATTTTTTTTTCTCTCTTAGATTAGAGATTTGGAAGCTGAGGTGTTCCGGCTACTGAAGCAAAATGGGACTCAAGTTAACAATAACAACAACATCTTTGAGAGAAGAACATCTCTTAGTGAGGTCTCTAAAGGAGATACCTTGGAGAACTTGGATGTCAAGCAGACACCTTGTCAAGATGGCCTAAGTCAAGGTTTGTTTAACCTAACCATAAAAAATGTTTTTAATGACTGTAAAATTTGGCCTTACATTCTTCTTTTTTTAACTCAGAGATTTAAAAGTTGAAAAAGTCTTCCTGCTGTGGGAAAGAAAAATGGGCTTATCAAAATAGGAAGTTATAATTTTTCTCTCATCTTATCAAAAATAAATCTTTGATGTAAAGAATTAACAAAATTCCAAATCGGACAAGTCAGATATTATTTTTAAACCACCATAAAATTGATAGGCTTAATAAACTGCCTTAAATTGATAGCTCGTCCCATATAGGGTGAGTTACACTACTTAAGTATTAATTAGTAAGGCTTAAAATGAGTGATTTTTAAGTCCCTAGAAAGAAGATCTTTTTCATAACATCAGAAGGCTGACTTCTAGCACTTGGAATTCACTAAGAAGTTCTGTGTACTTTTCTGCTTTTACCTCGATGTCCTGTGTATACGTCTCATTCTTTCCTGTCAGAGACCAAATCAGACCAGAACACGGGAAGCATTTTGCATTGTGAATGGCTGTCTTCTTTCATACACCAACCATAAATAAATCACTTATTTGCTTCCCTCACACACGCCCGTGCATAGACTGTGTGTATAAGAATGTGTATGAATGTTTTAATACGTATAGTGTATTTATAAATTAGAGGATGTGTAAGAATTTATAACGATAAATGCACAGGCGGACATAAAACTTTTTATTTCATCTTTTAAAATAGGTACCTAGTAGACCTTAGAAAAAGTGAAAATAAAAGAATGTCATGTGGCAGCATTGTCGTGAAGGGACTGACAACTCACAGGCAGTGGTTTGACATGCAGTAAAACTGTGATCACTAATGAGCTGTTTAATTCTTTGATGCTCTTTCGCACATATTAAAATGTCTCCAATGAGATTTTCCTGATAAACAAGTGTTTATATCATATCGTTAACTTTCAGAACTAAACTCTTAGCCGTTGAAAGTGAGAAGTATTGGAAATTTTCATTTAAAAGTAAAGTGGTATTTAGAGATTTGCATCTGTTCACTAAGTTTATATCCTTTTGCTGTGTTTTCCCTTACTAAGACATAATCTGTAAATAATGCCTCCCAGGCAGTTAAAGAAGAGTATTTAGCACCCACATTACCACTAACTGAAGAGGTATGTGACTTTAGGAAGGTCATTCAACTTCTCTGGCTTGGTTTTTTACTATGTATAACATCAAAATGGCAACACTTCTTTCTTCTCCACCCTAAAGGGTGTTTGAGGTGAAAAAAAGAAACTTTATTAGAGCTTTTATGGAGTTACAATTTTTATATCTGGAACTCGATAAGATTGTTTTCTTTAAAAAGTCAGAAATCAAATCAATGTGTTTTTTTACCTTTTTGAATATTTTAATTCTTCAAATTCGTCGTAGTTTATAATAAATATATATTCCTGCTATGCCATACACAAAGTATGATCAGTAACCAGTAGCTTTCCACAGTCTAATTCATTTCTGTTCATTTCTTTTAGTTCAGAAATCTGTATCCTGTCAAACATATAATTAATGGTATTTATTAAATTATATTACTACAGAATATCAGCAAACTATACTATAAACATGCTGATTTGGATTAAAACCTTACATTTCTTCTGAACCCTTTTTCTTCTCTTCTACACCCTCCATTTTGCCACATAATTATCAGTTTCCCTAGCAACGCTGTCGGTTCACGGTGAGATGCAGAGACTACTAATTCTTCCTGAAACCAATCCATGCTTGTGCAGTAGAGGTAGAATCAGTCATCTCAGACATTAGTAGCATACATATCAAGCGGTACTCTTCCAGTTTTGCTGCCGAGGACAGTCAGTGATAAATCTCCTTGAATTTCAGTTGCTTGATCACATAAACTAAAATGGCTTGGTCAGTAGCTAGATAGGAATGCTCTGGAAAGCACTTTTCTAAAGTGATCCTTTGCTTCTGTTGCTAGGGAACGCTGAAGTCCTAGAGGTTCAGAAAAGGAAGTAAAGCAGCGGACCAAACGCAAGCCATTTGGTATTTAATGATCACCCTCCCCCCCAACACACACCTTTTTGCAACAGGATGGGTACAGCGGTTGAAGTCAGTTCTGCTAGTCTGCGCCCTTGAGGTGCAGTGCTTTACCTCTCCACCTCCTGTGGACTGTCCAGTTCTGATTTGTTTTCCAAGCACTGGAGTGTTTTATTGATAGGATGAGTGGTTTAGCATCTTTTTGGGTCTGAGGCAGCTCAGTGAAGCAAAAGGATTATCAGTTATAGGTCAGTGAAAATCTATGTTAGAATGAAATGTGAAAGAAAAGGAAGGAGAGAGTGAAGGAGGCAGAAAGGTAAGAGGAGGAAAGGAAGAGCATGTTAGCAGCTGCTTCTTCACAAGAACTCATGTTCTTCTAGGAACGAGAGTCCCAACTGGGGATGGATTAATTATGTGACTCTCGATATTAAATTATTGTACATTTTAGAGTGATAAAACCGTTTTCAAACCATGCAAAAATTTGCCACAGTTAAATTTATATCCAAACATCATATGTATGGTTCTTTCTATAAACTAAGCCTACTCAAGTATCTCATTAAAATGTTGACAGATTGGGAATTCCATGGAGGTCCAGTGGTTAGGACTCTACGCTCTCACTGCTGAGGGCCCCGGGTTCAATCCCTGGTCACCAAAAAAAAAAAAAAAAAAAAAATGTTGGCAGATTATGTATACAAATATATTATTTAACACATTCTGATACTTTTTTCTTAAAATCCATAAAGCAACTATAACAATTTCTTTTCACCAAGAGATGAAACAAACTCTAAATCCCTTCTAGTTTACACCAGTATGCTGGTCAGATACTAGTTTACATGTGTTCCAGGATGTGAAAAATGACAGTTTTGTCCCACTGCCATGTTTCATATTTATAATTTCTTAGTGTCTGAGTAATGCTGGTCTGTATAAGAGTTCTCTACCTTGTATCCAAAGGCCCCGAAGTGACTAGAAATGTCTGTGGCCACTCAGATATTCAAGTCAGGATTAGAAAAAGAGCAGAAAACAGGCATGTTAGAGAGATCTTGGTAGGAAAAAGGGTTGTAGTCGTAGTTTGATTAACTTCTTTAAAAAACTCACTTAAATACCATGCTCTTCCTGAGGCAGGTGAAGGGTTTGGTATGAAACGAATAGATGATAGAAACATTTTAAGAGATGAGAGGGAGTTTGAAGAAGAGAAAAAAGTGAATAAAATTAGAATAATTTTTTTCCTGATTCATAGACCTTATGTTAAAAGTGGGACCTTATGTTAAAAGTGTGTCATAGGGTGTTCTTGGAGTAAAAGTAGTCTTTGGATGCCGGAAGAAGAGCTTATACTTAATTCTGTAAGCATTGTGACCCATTAACAGTTTTGTTTTTTCTCAGAAATTAAAAACTCTTTTAATGGAAAAAGATAACATTTGCAAAGTCAGCAGTAGTGATAACAAACAATACTTTAACACAATATTGTAAATCAACCATACTTCACTTAAAAAAATTATTCTTGGGAACTGATGTAGTGTTTCTACGGGCCAGGCAGTGTTTTAAGTTACAGCAATTCATTTAATCCTCACAACAACCCTAAGAAGTAGTATTGCTGTCATCCCATTTTATAGATCAGGAAACTTCAGATGCAGAAATTAAACCATCTGTCCAAGGTCACTCAGTGAGCAAGAGGTAGAACCAGGAGCTGGACTCATCGCGCTCCACAGCCCATTTTCTTAACTATTCAACTGAACTGTGCTGGTTTTCTGGAGTCTGCTGCTTCTCCTAGACAACTGATAGGAACTCTTTGCCCCCAGAAAAGGCTGAAATCATAGGAAGTCAGGAAATCCAAAGCAATACCGTTAATAGTTTTGAGGCATAACAGGAACTGGGTCACTGCTAGGTTTGTAAGTGTAATTCAAGGATCCCTTTGAAGTTTGGGCATTAGTACCAAATGCTTCTTTTATTTCACACCCATCTACTCAGCCAGTGGGGCACTGATTAGATAACACTGCAAGTTATCTTCTCCAAAGTATGAACATGGAAGATGGTATATAAAGCATTTTATCCTTAGTTCTTTTAGTTACTTACTATTTCTTAACTCTAATGAGAACTGTGCAAGAAGAAAAAAGACTTAAATTGCAAGATAGAGGATTATAGGAAAGTCGAGACTTTCATAGTAAATTGTGGCTGGAATTAGTCAATCCTGATATTTTTTTTTTTTAAGATTTGTTATTTATTTATTTATGTTTGGCTGCATCGGGTCTTAGTTACGGCATGCAGGATCTTTTGTTGTGGCTTGCGGGCTTCTCTCTAGTTGCATTGTGCAGGTTTTTTTTTCTCTAGTTGTGGTGTGCAGGCTCCAGGGTGCTTCGGTTCTGTAGTTTGTGGCATGCAGGCTCTCTAGTGAGAGACGCAAGCTCAGTAGCTGTGGCGCACGGGCTTAGTTGCCCCGCGGCACGTGGGATCTTAGTTCCCTAACCAGGGATCAAACCCACGTCCCCTGCATTGGAAGGCAGATTCTTTACCACGGAACAACCAGGAAAGTCCCAATCCCAATATCTTTAAAAATAAAAATATTTTTTAGCTACTTTTTAGGTAATTTAAGAATATCCTAGAGAAAGGAGCATAATGATAATGAAAATAATATCTTCTTGCTGTTTCTCTTTTCCCTTACTCTTTTTCCACAAAATGGTTCAGCTGTTGCAATAAGACCCCAGGTTTCTTTTTTTTTTTTTTAATTTTTATTTATTTATTTATTTTGGCTGCATTGGGTCTTCATTGCTACCCACGGGCTTTCTCTAGTTGCGGTGAGTGGAGGCTACTCTCCGTAGTGGTGTGCGGGCTTCTCATTGCGGTGGCTTCTCTTGTTGTGGGGCACCGGCTCTAGGCACGAGGTCTTCAGTAGTTGTGGCACACGGCTCAGTAGTTGTGGCTCATGGGCTCTAGAGTGCAGGCTTGGTAGTTGTGGCACACAGGCCTAGTTGCTCCGCGGCATGTGGGATC